TTAATTTGTTGAACCTTTTAGTAATATTTAAGTCCTTCTTTGTCTCTTGTAACTGTATTTTGATTTAAAGTTTATTTTCTCTGATATATAGCCATTCCCACTCTTCTGGTTACTATTTGAATGAATATCTTTTTCCATTTTTTTACTTTCAATCTGTTTGTGTTATTATATGTAAAGTGAGTCTCTTATAGCTGCATATAGTTGGATCATGTTTTTAATCCTTTCTGCCAATCTCTCTTTTGATGAGAGTTCAATCCATTTACATATAATGTAATTATGGATAAAGAGGGACTTATTTCTGCCATTTTGCTGTTTATTTCCTATTGCCTTATAACTTTTATAGCCCTCATTTCCTACATTACTGTCTTCTTTTGTGTTGATATTTTTTTTGCAGTGAAACATATTAATTCCCTTCTCATTTCCTTTTGTGTATATCATAAAATTATCTCATTTGGTTACCATGGGGATTAAATTTAACATTCTAAAGTTGTACATTCTAATTTGAATTTATACCAGCTTAACTTCAATAACATACAAAACTATGCTCCTATGCAGCACCTTCCCTATCCCTGTTTAGTTATTTATGTCACAAAATGACACCTTTATACATTATATGACCAAAAACATAGACTAATTGTTTTTTAAAATTAGTCTCTTAAATTATGTATAAAACAAAATGTGGAGTTACAAATAAAAACTACAATAATACTAACTTTAAGACTAATGGTTTAAAAATGCATTAATCTTTTAAGTAATGTAGAAAACAAAAATAGTAGTTACACACTATTACCACAATAATACTAGCTTTTATAATTGCATGTATTTACCTTTGCTGGGGTTTTAATTTTTTTCATACAACTTTAAGTTACTGTCTACAGTCCTTTCATGTCAACCTGCAGGACTCCTTTTAGCATTTCTTTCAGGGCAGATCTAGTGGTAATGAACTCCCTCAGGTTTTATTTATCTGGAAATGTCTTGATTTCTCCTTCAGTTTTTAAGGACAGTTTTGCCGAATAAAAGATTCTTGGCTGACAATTTTTTTCCTTTCAGAACTTTGAATATATCAGCCCACTGCCTTCTGGCCTCTGAAGTTTCTGATGAGAGGTCTGCTGAAGATCTTATCAAGGATCCCTTGTATCTGATGATCTGCTTCTCTCTTGCTGGTTTCAGACTCTCTGTCTTTGGCTTTTGACAGTTTGGTTATAACATGTCTTGGTATGAGTCTGTTTGAGCTCATGCTTCTTGGAGTTTGTTGAGCTTCTGAAATATTTGTATTCATGTCTTCATAAAATTTGGGAAATTTTCAGCCATTATTTCTTCAAATAACCTCTCTGACCCTTCTTTTTCTCTCCTCACATTCCCACAATGCATATGTTGGTCAGCTTTATGGTGTCCCACAAGTCTCTTAGGCTCTGTTCACTTTTCTTTAGTCTTTTTTCTTTCTGTTTCTTAGATTCGATAACTTCAATTGTCTTACCTTCAAGTTTGCTGATTCACTTTTCTGCCTGCTCAAACTTGCCTTTGAATCCCTCTGGTGATTTTTTCATTTCAGTTAATGTACTTTTCAGTTCCAGATTTTTTTTGATTTCTTCTTTTTGATCATACATTTTGATCATACATCATTTTCTTGACTTTCTTCATGTCTTCCTTTACTTTTTTAAACATCTTAAGGACTATTTTAAGTCTTTTTCTAAAAGGTCTGTCATTTGGTCTTTCTCTGGAACAGTTACTGTTTACTCTTTTCCTTTGAATGGGCCATACTTTCCTGTTTCTCTGTATGTCTGGTGGTTTTTGTTGAAAACTGGACATTTAAGTCTAATAACATAGTAGCTTTGGAAATCAGATTTTTCCCCTTCCCCAGGATTTTCTGTTATTCCATTTTGTAGTCTATCTCTCTGCCAGGGATCAGCCTGAGGTCTTAATGTCTTCTTAGAACATGTGTGGTGACTTTCTAGATTTTTATGTTTTTGATGTCCTAGTTCTTAAACATTTGGCATCCGAAAGGAGAAAAAAGAGAAAATGAAGGGTGAGGAGGGGAAGGGACTGGCCGTTTCTATCCCCTAGGAGTTGCTTCAGCTAGGAGTGGAGAGGCTTTCACAATTGGTGGTGGTGGAAGGGTGGTCCAGCAATGGTTGCTTGCCTCTGTGTCTGAACCTCTGAGATCAGAAGCTACAAGCAACAGTCAGAGCACTGATAATTGGTATTTGGGAAGTTGGGGTCTTATTGCTTACTCTGGCTCTTGCAGGCTGCATACAGGCTGTTCCTGGAATGCATGCACAGGTTCCTGCCCCAGGGCTGGGGGGAATAGGATTGGTAGGTGCTACAGTGCTAAAAGCTGAAATTAACTTCAAGTCTTTGAATAGACTCCAGAGGTAAATAGCAGTATCAGACAGATTCTGCCAGTACAATTGCTGTCTAGGTGGGGGAAAGGATTCCTGGTGTTTCCTTCTCTGCCATCTTCCCAGAATTCTGTCTGATTCAGTTAATTTTTAGGGTTCTCTGTTATGAACTAGGTACTCTTCTGTGCACAAGTAGAGTGATGAGCAAGACAGACAAGAATCTCTGCTCTCTACACATGTCAAAATCCATCAAGATGTACAGAGATTTATACTTTATTGTCTGTGCCTCAATTAAAAAAAAGTAAAGGAAGGCAATAACTAAAAAAAAAATGATCTCAGCTCTCATGGAAATTATATGCTCTAGTAGGGAAGTCAGACAATAGAAAAATTAAATAGACAATATAATTTCATGTAATGATAAATGTTATGAAAAAGTATTTGAATAACACAGACACTGTAGTTGTCCCATTCATGTCCCATCTGCATTTAACATTCTCATGGAAGCTGGCCAGATTTTCAGCTGCCAGCACCTGCAAGTGCTTGCCTGAGGGTACTTTCTGACTCTTGGGGCCTCTTCTACCTTGGTGCAGGAACAGTTGGGAGCACCAGAGAATTAAGGCTTCCCTAGAGAGCACCCCTCAACTAATAGCTGAATTGAGTTGTGGATAAGAACCTAGCTCCCTTGCCCCTCAGGTGGGTAACTCTGAGGTATCTTCTACACTGCCTTGCAGGGTTCTTCAGTGTATTGAGCTCCAATTATTTACAGCAGTACCTTGTTTCATCATGCATTTTTTATGGGATCCTTTCCATCCTGACTTCCTAACTAGGGTTTCCTGGATCATCTCCCAGATAAATTATTTGTGCTTGAATCTTTGTTTGAGGGTCCATTTATAGGGGAACTCAAGCTAGATTTTATGAAATGTGGGGGTGGGGACAGGTGGGAGGGAATGGCTGAAGCCAGTGTGCAGCAAAATGCTCAGGTGCACACCCATTGGTGGGTCATTGAGAAAGGTTCTGTGAGTTGGGTAGCTGTTCTGAAATTTTGCCTGTGCCTTTATAGAGAGTGGGCCCTTTGCTACTGTTCAGAGCTAGGAGGGGCTGTGGTGTCCAAGCTAGAACAGCTTCTTGTGGTGGTCAGAGTGTTATAGCTTTTATCAAAAGAAACCCAACTTATTCTTAAACCATTCCCCCACACCCTGATTGGTATTCTCTCTTCCTGGGCCCATGACCTTTTTTCTCTTTCCTCAACCCTTTTTCCTGCTAACAAGTATAGTCACTTGGTTGTTTTAAGTTATTTACTGGTGCTTTTCTTTTCTTTCTGATTATAAAAGTTATTCTTTTTTCTATATAAAAGTTTTAAATACAAAAAAAAGAAAAAAATTAAAATCATCCTGTGACTGATTAAAGTTGACCACAAATTCTTAGACACACCTCCCTTGAGAGGTAGGATCTATGTCCTCTCTCCTTTAATATAGATGAGCCCTGTGAGTGCTTGACCAATAGAATATGGTAGAAGTGACTCTGTGAGTTTCCAGATCAAACACTTAAGAGACTGAAAACTTTCAATTCTTGTCTGTTGGAAACTTGCTCTTGAAATCTAGCCAGCACACTATGAGTAGCCTAAAGCACATGGAGAGGCCACATGTACATCCTCCAATTGACATTCTCAACTGACTTCCCCACCTACAGCCAACACCAACCCAGCCATGTTAGTGATCCATTTTGAAAGTCCAATCCAACTGAGCCTTGGATGACTCTAGGTCCATTCACAATCTGGCTGCAACCATGTGAGATCCCCTAGTGAGAAGTGCTGAGCCAGACAATCAACAGGACTATGAGACAGTAAGTTGCTGTTCAAGTCACTAAAATTTGGAGTGGTGTGTTATTGCAGTAGTAGATAATGAGAACACACACGTAACCCTACCATGTAGAGATAACCATTATTAACATTTTGATTTTCCTACATACACATATTTTTAAATAGGTAATTTTAAAACCACACATAGAGAATTTTTATGGAGTTTTTTTTGGAGAGCAAACATTTATTTGCTCTGGTTATTAAGAAACTAAAGTTAGAGGCAAGTGAAAATGTGTTCGGGAAATAGTGAAAAAACCATTAGCTTGGGGATCATGTTAACAATCACATTCCATGAAAGTATGCACCTGTGTCTTTAAAAACAGATTTAGAAGTGACTAACATGATGGATGTAACGATATATTATAGTGAGACAGCATTCAACCATTCCTCTGTTGTTAGATTATTTAGGTTGTTTTAGTTTTTCACTGTTAAAACCAATGTTTCAATGAACAAGCTTGCATATACACCTTTGACTATACTTCTCAGTTGTTTCTTAGGATAAATTCTTGGAAGTGAAAATTCTTGGGCTTTTTTTGAAGCTTTTTTTTTTTAAAGGAAATTAATATTAAAAAAGCACTGGGTTTCTCTGTACCTGAGTTGCCCTTAGATTAAGGTGGGCAAACAGATGATACCTTTGGGATAGTGACTTTGATGGTTTGGGCCAGGAAATTGGGTAGGGAGGGAGCACAGGCTGTGTATAGCCACAGAAGGGTCAACAATGCTGTGTGTTCCCTGAGCCGCCGCCCTCTTCCTTTGACTCTTCGCCAGATTTCTGCCTCCTACTTCTCTTTTTCTGTCCTTCCTGGCTTTGGTGGCTTCCTTTAATTCGCTCGGCAGTGTGTGTAGCCCCACTGTTCCTGCTCACTCCAGCTATGATTCATAAAGTTCTTCTGTTAACAGGTGAGCCAGGGGCCTGGTGGGGGGCCCTCAGAATAATGAGGAAGGGAAATTTTGAGTCTGTGAGCAGAGGGAAAGGGTGCAGACCATCCAGGAGGTAGACAGGGAGAGACAAAGGGTGTTTAGGGAAGGGATTCAGGAAGCAGAGTAGAGCCAGACCAAGAGTCATGGCCAGAGAAACTTGGATGACTAAATTCATAGACTATGCAGGGGGTTTGGCTGGCTTCTTCACTTCGCAGACTCCGATACTGTGCCCAAAGAGGTACAATGACGTGGCTAAGGGGGCACAGCAGGTATTCTCTTGGAGTGTTTCTTCTTGAATTCCATCTCACCACCTCCACTTTGCCTCCCGTTCTATTTTCCAAGGACCCAGGGTATAAATGTTTGTTGAATGACTGACTGCTCAAAATAATTCAAGTTTATTTCCTTTTAATCCTGTGTTTTGTGGAGAATGAGTCAAAGAGAAAGAAATGCTTGAGAGTTACATAGGAAGGAAATTGCCTAACTGAGTCTTTAGGAACTTGATTGTTGGGCAAATCAGTGGGGAGGGAACACAGGGTGAAGTTTGGAGAGGGGCTGAAGGCACCTCAAGTTGGTGGTTCTTAGACCAGGGGTCAGCAAACGGTGGCCTGTGGGTGTAGGCAAAAATTTTACCACCCGTTTTTGTACAAACTGTGAGCCATAGGTCCCAGATAAACATTTAGAATTGACTTCATGATAGGGGACAAGAACTTTGAATCCCAATGAAGTGAACTGTTATCTCCCCCAAAGAATTCTATTTGTCTCATTAGTAAATTAAAAAAATTTTTTTTTAATTTTGATATCATTAATGTACAATTACTTGAACAACATTATGGTTACTAGACTCCCCCCATTATCAAGTCCGCCCCCACATACCCCATTACAGTCACTGTCCATCAGCATAGTAAGATGCTATAGAATCATTACTTGTCTTTGTGTTATACTGCCTTCCCTGTAACAACCTCCCCCACATTATGTGTGCTAATTGTAATGCCCCATTTTCCCCCTTATCCCTCCCTTCCCACCCACCCTCCCCAGTCCCTTTCCTCTTGGTAACTGTTAGTCCATTCTTGGGTTCTGTGAGTCTGTTGCTCTTTTGTTCCTTCAGTTTTTGCTTTGTTCTTATACTCCACAGATGAGTGAAATCATTTGGTACTTGTCTTTATCCACCTGGCTTATTTCACTGACCATAATACCCTCTAGCTCCATCCATGTTGTTGCAAATGGTAGGATTTGTTTTCTTCTTATGGCTGAAAATATTCCATTGTGTGTATGTTCCACATCTTCTTTATCCGTTCATCTACTGATGGACACTTAGGTTGCTTCCATTTCTTGGCTACTGTAAATAGTGCTGTGATAAACATAGGGGTGCATATGTCTTTTTCAAACTGGGCTTCTGCATTCTTAGGGTAATTTCCTAGGAGTGGAATTCCTGGGTTAAATGGTATTTCTATTTTTAGTTTTTTGAGGAATGTCTATACTGCTTTCCACAATGGTTGAACTAGTTTACATTCCCACCAGCAGTGTAGGAGGGTTCCCCTTTCTCCACATCCTTGCCAACATTTGTTGTTGTTTGTCTTTTGTCCTTACTGGTGTGAGGTGATATCTCATTGTGGTTTTAATTTGCATTTTTCTGATGATTAGCGGTGTAGAGCATCTTTTCATGTGCCTGTTGGCCATCTGAATTTCTTCTTTGGAGAAGTGTCTGTTCAGCTACTCTGCCCATTTTTTAATTGGCTTATTTGCTTTTTGCTCATTAGTAAATTTTTATTACAAAAAATACACTCAATTATTTTATTTTGAATTTACTAAATGAAAAATGTGTAGAAATGCATTTTCTCTCTTATTATGTAAGTACCTATGTAATATACTCTACTTGTCTCTTGGCTCACAAAGCCTAAAATATTTATTATTTAACCCTTTATAGAAAAAGTGTGCCAATATCTGCCCCTGGCTACCAGGGCTGGATTGGGAGGCAGACATCTCCAGGCTGGGATAGGTTGAATGCCGGCAGCAAAGATGTATGGAACAGGAGGGCAAACTGCTTTCTTAACTATATGCTACCTACTTCCACCTGACCCTCACCCCCTGTTGTTCTCTCTCCAGTCTTGGCCTTATGTCATGGGTTCAACCTGGACACTGAAACTGTAAAGATCTTTCAAGAGAATGCAAGGGGCTTTGGGCACAGCGTGGTCCAGCTTGAGGGATCCAGGTAAGGGTTGCAGATGGCCTCCCTGTCTCAACATGTCTTCCCTGTAAGAGTTCAACACCTGAAAAAAAATCACAATTTCCTTGATTTTTTTTGAATAGGCAATACAGTTACAGGGTTCTAAATTTGGAAGATATAAAAGAAGGTGACAGTAAAAGAAGCCTCCTCTGCACTCCCTTCCCCCAATTCTCTTCCCAGGAGGTTCCTTGGTAAATGGTTTTTTTGTGTTCTTCCAGAAGAATTCTACACTGTATATACCTCCACATTTCCCTAACTTTCCCACCCTTCACACTATTTGTAGCACAGCCTGCTGCCCATTTTTGTAAATGAATTATATTGATTCCTCACCCCAACTCCCCATTTACTGTTTATGGCACTTTGGAGCTACAATGGCAGAATCAAGAGGCTGTGACAGAGACTATATGGCCCACAAAGCCTAAAATATTTACCTTTACAGAAATAATATGGAAATAATATTACCTTTCCAGGAAAAGTTTGCTGACTTCTGCTGTATGGTGTCCTGTGCATTTTTTTTTCTTACTAAGGTGTGGTGATTTTATCAAAAAAGTGTATAGTGAGCTTACTCATTCTTTTTTATGCTTGCATCATATTCTATTATTTGAAGGTGTTACAATTTATATTACATTTAAATTTCTTAACGGATATTAGATGGTTTTTTTTACTATATAAACAATGTATATATGCAAATTTTACATATGTGAACTATATTTGGAAGTAAATTACTGGAACTAGAATTGCTGGATCAAAGGGTACATAAGAATTTGTAATTTCAGCAGATCTTCCCAGATTACTCTCTACAGAGATGGCAAAAATTTAAACTCACACCAGAAATTTATATCAATATCTATTTCTTCACCCATTTGCCAACCCATTGTGTTATGAAACTTATTGATCTTTGCAATTTGAGTATGTGAGAAATGATATATCTCAATTTAGCTTGAAATTGCATTCCTTTTTAATTGAGAGATGTATTTTCTTTTCTGTGAATGTTTTCTTCTCTGTTGCCTATTTTTCTATTGGGTTATTGTTCGTTTGTTTGTATTTTTCCTTATTGGTCTGTAAGAATTCTGACTATATTGAGGAAAGAAACTCTGGGTATGAGTTGCTAATTTCCCTTCCCCCAGTTATCATTTGTCATTGACTTTGTCTATGGTAGTTTATCACATACATTTATTTTAAATGACTGTATAGCTGAGTGTATTCATTTTTATATGTCTTCCAGGTTTTGTGTCATTCTTAGGCCCTTCCCATTCCAAGATTTAATTCTCTCAATTTTTTCATTGCTGAGTCTTCCTCTTTTTTCTGGGTGTTGGGAAATCCACGTGTGGGTTGACTCCCCCACTTTCCTCTGGGTGGCAGGACTTCCATGGTTTCCTCTCCCCACATGGCAGAGGTTTCTCTTATCCCCATGGTTATATGTTCCCATCTGCCCCCACAGGATGGTGGTTGGAGCCCCCCAGGAGATAAAGGCTGTCAACCAAACAGGTGGCCTCTACCAGTGTGACTACAGCATGGCCGCGTGTGAACCCATCCACCTGCAGGGTGAGTCACTGCCCTGCCTTGGGACCCAGGGCTAGGGTTGCACCTACACATACACCTGGACTTGCCAGGCATTGCCTTGGTTCTGGGGGTCTGTTGTGGGAGCCCAGGAGTTTGGCTCCCCAGTCTCTGTGCTGTATGCAGATTACCTAGACACCCTCAGGCACCCCTTCCCTGTTTCTTTTCCATGACCTGGGTGCCTCCTTGACTTGTCAAACCTCTGTGTCACCCAGGCCAAGGTGACCCTTGTCCTGCTCTTAACTGTCCTTTTCTTCTCCCCGAGGATGACCATGTATATTATCTGTCCCCTCAGTTCCCCCAGAGGCTGTGAACATGTCCCTGGGCTTCTCTTTGGCATTTGCCACCAAACCTTTCCGGCTGCTGGTGAGTTACCCTGGGTCACAGAAGTATCCTGAGGGAGGGAGTTGGGGGCCCAAGGTTTCTGGGGCTGGGGTCTGCAGAGGGAGGCAATGCTGGGGAGAAAGAATAAACAGCCCCTCCCACCTGTACTTGATCCCCAGGCCTGTGGCCCCACTGTGCACCAAACTTGTAAGGAAAACACCTATGTGAATGGCTTCTGCTTCCTGTTTGGGTCCAACCTACTGCAGCAGCCCCAAAAATTCCCAGAGGTCCTCAGAGGTAGGTTGCCTTTGGTAGTGAGTACATATAGGCAGCATGAGACCAGAGGGCTGGGCCAGGACTGGGCTGGGTACTATTCGTGGTCTGGGAGGTGATTTAGAGGTCTAGGTGCAGAAGGGTGAGGGAACAGAGTTCCAATAGAGAGAAGCTGGGGGGAGATGTTAGGTCTTTCAGTTTAAGAAAAGTCCTGCTATAGCTACTCATCTTTTTGAGATGATGTTCCAACCATTGTTCTTAGAGTAAGTACCTGTTCTCCTGGCCATAGCCTTTGAGGCTCTAGATGGTGTGGCTCCTTTCCACCTCTCCAGCTTCTTTCTCATCCCTTCTAGGTATGACCACTCTGGCTGCCTTTCTTCTCCAAGAATCACATCAAGCTGCTCTTGTCTCAGGGCATTTGCACATACTACTCCTTTAGCCTAGCATGCTCTTTCTCCAGATTTCAGCTGACAACCCATTATTGTCATCTCAGCTCAAATGTCACCTCTTCAAAGAGACCTTCCTTGAGTAGCCTGTTTAATTATTCCCACCATTACTCCCTACCACCTCATCCTATTTCACCATTTCATATCTATTTATATTCTACTTGTTTCTTATCTGTCCTTTCCTCTGGAATGGAGGTTCCATGATAGCAGGGATGTTGTCTAGCTTTTTCATGGTTCTACACTCTTGCCTCTATTGCTGCTTAAAAAATTGCCCCTGAACTTAGCAGCTAAAAATAACAAACATTAATTATGTTACAGTTTCTATGAATCAGGAATCTATGCATGGCTTAGCTGGGTGCCTCTGCCCCATGAGATTAAAGTTAAGCTGTTAAACCAGGGCTGTGTTCTCATCTGAAGGCTTGACTACAGGAAGATTCACTTCCAAGCTCAATTACAAGGTTGTTGGACTGAGGGCCTGAGTCCTTACTGGCCGGAGGTTTCCCTCAGTTGCTTATCACATGGGCCATAGAGCACTTCATTTCCATGAGCTGCTGGTTTCCCTCAGAGTGAGTGACAAGGGACTGAGACAGCAAGAGAGAGTAAGCATCCAAGACAGAAGTCACAGTCTTTTTGTCATCTAATTTCAGAAGTAACAGCTCATTACTTTTACTGTAATGTATTCCTTTGAAGTGAATCAAAAGTACAGCTCATGCTCAAGAGAGAGGGATGTAAGTGTTATTACCAGGAGGTGAGAATCTTGGGGACCATTATGGTGACTGCCTACTATATCCTTGTTCCCAAAATACTTGTCGATTGAAAAAGAATGAGTCAGTGAATGAATCTTTTTTCAAGCTGCTCTCTGCCACTGATTTCTTTATTGCTGGGCTTTTTGCTTGTCTCCAAGTTGGTTCTGGAACCATGGGCAGGTATGTCTTCTTTTTATAGATTTTTTTAAAGCTATGTCCTTTGTAGTTTGCTTTCAATGGATAACTTTCCCTCCTTCACAAAGAAAACCACAGCTGTCAGGGCATGAATGCCCTCAACTCCCCTCTTCTCCTTCTTCAAATTTCCACAGTGGTACCAATGTCTTACTAGTTTTAGAGGAAGTCCTGTCTTTCTACCTTTTCATGAGGAATTCTTCCATCTGGTCTCTTGAAGCTTTCTCACATCACCAATTCCGAAGCCCACATCTTCAATCATCTTCTTAAATTTCTCCCCCTCCTTTGAATGTAAACATGTTCATGCTACCCATATCTCAAAAACAATCAATCCCTAAAATTGACTGCAATAAAATAGCCTTCCCTCTCCCTGGTTTCCTCCCCATCCTCTGCCGTCTCTCCTGCACTTCACCACCAAAATTCTTGAAATGGTTCCCTCTTCTTGTCTCCATTTCCCCCATGTCATTGATTCTTCACCTTCTGGTATCTGGCATCTGGCCACCCATCAAATAGATCTTGCAGATCTATAGATTTGCAAGAATGACATCTGTGAATAACTAAATGCAAAATCTCTTTTTATCCTCATGTTCACTCACTTTTTCTGAAGTGACCTGCAGATCTTCTTTCTTCCCCAAACACCTTGGCTTCAAATTATCTCTTCCTTTCTTCTCTTCCCTCTCCCTCTCTCCCCTGTCCTTCCTGTCTCTCCTCTCCTCCCCTTTCTCTCTTGCTTATCCCTCTACTGAGGGCTTATGCTAAGCTTCATCTCCAGGCTGTCCTCCTCACCTACCTAGGAGTACTGGGTCACAGCTTCTATTCTTGTCCATGTGTTCTTCCTGCCTTATCATATCCAAATCTGTGACTTCAGTTCCCCACATCACCAATTTTTCTCTAAAGTCCTCACTCTCAGAACTTCAAAACTCTTCTTTAAAAATTTTTTCATTTCTTTAAAAATAGATAATACATGCAGTTGGTTCAAAATTCAAAAGCCACTAAAGGATATACTGTAAAAATGTCTCCCTCTTGGATCCCTAGCCTTCTGTTTCTTTCCTGGGAGGCAGTCACATCACCAGTTTCTTATGTCTTCCTCTGGTGCTACTCCATGTATTTATAAACACCTACATACCTATACTCTCACTTTGTGTCACAAACTTAAGATATGTATAGATTTATGTAAACATGAACAGGATACAAAAGAACTCTATCACCCCTTTAAAAATCCTTCATGCTATCCCTTAATAGTTACTTGCCTCCTTCCCATCACCCCTAGTCCCTGGCACCCACTGATTTGTTCTCCATCACTGTGTATAGTTTGTCTTTTCAAGAATGCTACATAAATGGAATTGTAACCTTTTGAGATTGACTTCTTTCAGTAGCATAATGCATGTTGTTGTGTGTACCAGTTGTTCTTTCCTTTTTATTGCTGAGTAGTATTCCATTGCATGAGTTACCAGTCCCATTCACTAATTCATCCACTTGCTCATGGAAGGATGTTTGGGTTGTTTCTGATGTTTGTCAATCATGAATAGAGCTGCTAGAAACTCTTCACTGCTAGGCAATCTTTCTAAAACATAAAACAGATCATTTTACTTCCCTTTCTAAGCACCTTCTATGGCTCCCACTGCCTAAAGGATAAAGTCAAACTGCTTTTTGGATTAGAGAGGCTCTTCCCAACTGTTCTCTGCTTAATGCCATAGCCTCATCTCAATCCCGTAACATAGATTTACCCTCAGAGTGCCATTTCCATCCCTTGGTCCTGCCAGAATCATTTTAGGCCTATCCCCTTTGTATCAGTCAAGGTCTTAACTGGAATAGACAGCACACTCCAATTTTCATAATTTGAGGAGGGTTTATTTACAAAGGGACTAATAAAGGTGTGGTAGGGTCTAAGGAAACTACAAGATGGTGCAGAAATCTAGGGTGAGTAGCAGTAGAGCTGTTACTACCCTAGGCTGATGAGACAAGGGGAGGGAGAAGTCACCAGAATCTGGAAAGGGAAAGAGTCATGTGGCCCCTTGAGAGGAGCAGTGAACTGTTGATGGGCCTAGCTGGCCCAAAGTAACCTTGCAGGGAGGAGGCTGAAGGGAGAATACTCTACTTTCACTCTCCTCCCTCTTTCCACTCTTCTGTTGAGGCTCTTAATTGGGTAAATCCAACTAGAAGCCAGAGGGAGCCCTGTTGATGTGGTCCATGTAGGCTGACATCTCAGGCCACAAAGCTGACTGGAGGAGGGTAGCAAATGGATTTGGGGCATACCTTTATATGTGTTATTCCTTTTTTTCCTGTAAACTATTTCTGCCTTTGTATTTCTGGCAAATTATTTCTCATTCTTCATGAGGTAACTGTAATATGGCCATTTTCCTTGACTCCCTTGAGCAGAATTAACCATATTTTCCATACACCTTTGTCCATTTAAAAAATCATTTTGAACAACATTCGAGTTTATTAAGCACATTTTAAAAAGTATTGCAAAATGTTTAACTTTTGCTAGCTCTAAGGTTTTTGCTGCTCCCAAATTTTGCATATAACTGAGCTTTCAGATCTGCTAAGAACTGTTGAATTGATTTCACTCTGGATTCTAAGGTGTCAGTTTCTTCTTGAAAATTTCTTTGCTTCTTTTAACATTTCTTGAATTTATTCTTGAGAATAATAATGAAAATATGACCAATTCAATTAAGTATCATTAAGCAGTCATCTGCAAGCATGTCCTTCAAGCATCTTCTAAATTTTGGAGTTGTTTAGTTTTTCTTTTGTTTCTTCCTTCAGCTATGTGATTCTACTTGTATTCTGTGAAAATTTGTTTATATTTTGTTGCTTTTCAAAAGTAACATTGACCTCTGCAGCTGTCTTCTTCGTGGTGGCTGCCATCTTGGGACCATGTCCGTGTTTTAATTTAGCTTGGAGCATAAGTTGCATCTTGTTTACTTTTTATTCTCATTTCTCAGCAGAGAGATGACATGCAAAAAATGTACCCCAAGTCTCTAGAGATTAATCAATTCGTGCTCTTTTTTCCTTTCCCCAGAGTGCCCTCAGCAAGAGAGTGACATCGCCTTCTTGATTGATGGCTCTGGTAGCATCATCCCGAATGACTTTCAGCGGATGAAGGAGTTTGTCTCAACTGTGATGAGTCAATTTAAAAAGTCTAAAACCTTGGTGAGGGTCAATGAGTAGGTTAGAGGACAGCCCACATAAGAATGGCAAATACATGCCAACCAGGCCACCACTTTTCTCTCCTATTTCTATTGCAGACTGCCAAATTGCCAATTGATCATGGTTTTCTTTCATAATTATCTTTCCTGCTTTGTTTGGACGCAGCCACAGCATTGTTCTAGCCCTCAGGAAAGTTGGCATAGGGGATGAAATCCATGTGCTATGTCTGGCTGAGTTCTACTACTGAGGAGAGAGATCTGATGGCAGATTTCTGTCCTGGTGAGGCAGAAGGATTGGGCAGTGCAAAATTTGGAGGGATTTGGAGGTGGCAGTGTTTCAAGATTGATTTAGGTGTTGCTGGCAGATGGTTAAGAGGGTGGAGAGCACCTTCTCCAGTGTAATGCCAGGTACCTGTTCCCAGTTCTCTTTGATGCAGTACTCTGAAGAATTCCAGACTCATTTCACCTTCAGTGATTTCAAGAAAAACCCTAACCCAGGATCGCTGGTGAGGCCAATAAAACAGCTGCTTGGAAGGACACATACTGCCACAGGAATCCTCAAAGTAATGTAAGTTCTTCCCTCTTTGCTTAGGGTAGAAGGAGGAGGTGATATTTTTAGCTGGGTTTGCAGAGTGAGGAGAGTTGTTCAGGCAGGGATTTCTAACAGAAGGAATAGCAGGGGTAAAGGTGTGGACAAGAGATTGGGCATGATGTGTTTATGAAATATAAATTGTGAGTAAAGGTGGAAGTAAAAGTGGAAAGTGATGGGAAGGCTGGAGGGAGGCTAGAAAGATAAGTTGAGGCCAAATCATTAAAGGCAACTTAAAAGTCACTGAGATCTATTGAAGGTTTTAAGCAGTGGGGAGACATCACCACTTGTTTTGGAAAGTTTGCTTTGATTTTTGTGTGCGTATTTGTAAAGATGAGGGTGGGAGCTGGGACAAAAGTTTGGGAAGATGAGCAAGGGAGCCCCTGCAAAGAACCAGGAAGGTTTGATGCGGGCCCAGTTAAGCCTATTAAAATTTTTTTAATTTAAAAGGAATAATACTCAGTTAAAAAAATCAACTTATGCAAAAGTATATAAAGGCAGTAAAGGCATCCTTTCCCTCCACTTTTTTCCCCTCTCCTGTTGTCTTCCCAGGTCTTGGAGCAGCCACATCTTAGTGTTTGCCTCAGCAGAGCCCAAGCTCCTCCTAGACAGTGCCTGGCTGCACCTGAGTCTGTGACTGCTGATGTTCCTTCCCAAACTAAAAGTATCTCCGCTTGCATTTGACTTTTCCCTCCTCTTCCCTGGACAGAAGAGAACTGTTTCACAGCAGCAGTGGAGCCCGGGAGAATGCCCTTAAGATCCTAGTTGTCATCACAGATGGAGAAAAGTTTGGCGATCCCTTAGAGTATGAGGATGTCATCCCTGAAGCAGAGAAAGCGGGGGTCATTCGCTATGTCATTGGGGTAGGATATGTGGCTCTCTGAATGCTTCTGTGGAAGGTTTCTGCTTGGATACACCCTCCCTTGAATTTGCAAATATCAATGAAATCAAAACGGCAGATGTCACTGCAATACCCCATATATGCACCTGTATCAGTGAACTGTTGTCATGATGATGCCATGTAACAAACTATCCCAAAATTCAGTGGCTTAAAACAGTAAGTGAGTCTGTAGATCAGCTCAGCACTTTTTATGATCTTGGCTAGGCTCATTCATGAGTTTGTAATCCGATGTTTTACTTGCTTTACTACATTTGGCAGCCCTGTCCCAGAGGCTTTCTAGTGCAATCCCTCATTTCATATTGTTTCAGATTCTTTTCCTGCAGAATTTTCTTTGCTGGATGAGACTACTACCCCCAGAGAGTGTTTGATTTGGCCTCTGTTCCTTGGTAACAGGTGGGAGATGCCTTTAACAGTTTGAGATCCCGCCAAGAGCTTAATATCATTGCATCCAAGCCAGTTCGTGATCATGTGTTTCGGGTGAATAACTTTGAAGCTCTGAAGACCATTCAGAATCAGCTTCAGGAAAAGATCTTTGCAATTGAGGGTGAGCTAAGGTTCTCTATTCTTGAAGCAGCTCCAGAGGCAGGCCTTCACCCAAAACATGTTTTTCTCTCTAGAAATTAGAACTTCCTAACCCTTTGTATCCTGACACTCAGCATTAACCCTCTCCACTTCCTCCAGTTCCTTTGAAATTGAAGGACCTAGAATTTTATCTATAACTCGGCAAGTCTTGGCTATAGGCTGAAAAATTGGAGGTGAAGGGAGCCAAATCCCATATGGTACTTTTCCAAAAAATAGGATGTGTTGCCAACATTTATTTGTTTGTATCTCCAGTGCCTAGAATAGTGCTTGGTACATAGAGGGTGCTCAATAAATGTTTGTTGACAAAAATAATTTAAAAATTGGGGAAAGGTTCATGTACAGTCTGGATTTATGGCTTCATTTGAAAAGTTGGTATATGAGACACCTTGAGAACCCCATTCCCACTTGGCAAAGAGTAGCTGGAGCTGAGTAGCCACCATCCTTTCAAAAGGGTCATATGCTTTCTAGTTCAACATAGCTCCCATCTGAATCTCTTTTGTCTGGCTACCACAGCATTTGAGTTTCTGGCACCTAGTCTGGGCTTTCTTGCTTTCTTTAATGTAAAAAGTTTTCCTCCCCACAGGTACTCATACAGGAAGTACCAGCTCCTTTGAGTATGAGATGTCTCAGGAAGGCTTCAGTGCTGCCATCACCTCTGTAAGTGGTTTTAGTAAATGTGAGGGAAAAGAAGAAAGATGCACAAGGGTTTGGGGGCTTTTCTCTATTGAGGGTACTTCTTTAATGGGCAGTAGTGGTCTCTTCTCCCTTCTTTGTCAGTCCTGTTTTTCTTTCTTTTTTATTGAGATATAATGGACATAAGTCATGATTTTAGCTTCAGGTGTACAATATAATAATTCAATATATGTGCATATATTGTGAAAAGATCACCACAATATGTCTAGTTAATTCCATCATGTCACACAGTTACAATTTTTTTTCTTGTGATGAGAACTTCTAAAATTTATTCTCTTAGCAATTTTCAAACACACAATACAGTATTATTAACTATAGTTGCCACACTGTACATTATAACCCCAGAATTCATTTATTTTATATCTGGAAGTTTGTACCTTTTGACCCCCTTCACACATTTCATCCACACCCCAACTGTCTCCTTCAGCAACTACCAATCTGGGTTCTCCGTGTCTGTGAGTTCACTTATTTTTGGTTTTGTTTTAGATACCACTTGTAAGTGAGATCACACAGTACTTGTCTTTCTCTGACTTCCTCACGGTCCATCCACATTGTCACAAGTGGCAGGATTTCCTTCTTTTTTTATGGTTGAATAATATTATATCTATATATCTATATCTATATCTACATCTATATCTATATCTGTATATATAGATACCACATTTTCTTTATCCATTCATGTGTCAGTGGACACTTAGGTTGTTGCCATGTCTTGGCTATGTAAATAATGTTGTAATGAACATGAAGGGGCAGATATTTTCTTGAGTTAGTGTTTTCACTGACAGAAAGTGAAATTAATGCCCAGAAGTGGAATTACTGGGTCATATGGTAGTTCTATTTTTAATTTTTGAGGAAATTCCACAGTTTTCCAGTGACTGTGCCAATTTAAATTCCCACTAATAGTTCACCAGGGTTCCCTTTTCAACACCTGTTATTTCTTGTCTTTTTGATGAAGCTGTTCTAACAGGTGTGAAGTGACTTCTCATTATGGTTTTGTTTGCATTTCCCTGATTATTAGTGACACTGAGCACTTTTTCCATGTGCCTTTTGGCCATCTGTATGTCTTCTTTGGAAAAATGTCATTTCAGATCTGTCCATTTTTTAAATTGGGTTGTTCTTTTTTTTGCTATTTGAGTCGTATGAGATTTTTATATTTTTTATATTAACCTCTTATTAGATACATGATTTGCAAATATTTTCTCCATTTTATAGGTTGCCTTTTCATTTTGTTGATGATTTGCTTTGCTGTGCAGTTTTTTGGTTTGATGTCTTTCTTGTTTAGTTTTGCTTTTGTTGCCTTTGCTTTTGTTGCCAAATCCAAAACATCATCCCCTTGACCAATGTCAAGGAGCTGTTTTCTACTTGGAATTTTATGGTTTCTGGTCTATGTTCAAGTGTTTAATCCACTTTGAATTGAGTTTTGTGAGTGGTATATGACAGTGTGGTCCAGTTTAATTCTTTTGCATGTAGCTGTCCAGTTCTCTCAAAACCATTTATTGAAGAGACTGTCCTTTCCCCACTGTATGTTCTTGGCTCTGAAATAAATGCATGGCTTTATTTCTGGGCTATATTATCTGTTCCACTGATTTTTGTGTTTATTTTCATGTCAGTCCCATACTGTTTGATTATGATAACCTTGAAACATAGTTTGAAATCAGAAAGCATGATGCCTCCACCTTTGTTCTTCTTTCTCAAAATTGCTTTAGTTATTCAGGGTCTTTTGTAGTTAAATACAAACGTTGCATTGAAGCTTTAGATTGCTGAATCCTGTTCTACCTTCTTTTCCAGAATGGCCTCTTGCTGGGTGCTGTGGGGAGCTTTGACTGGTCTGGTGGTGCCTTTCTACATAAGTCAAAGAATAAATTCACCTTCATCAACAGGGTAGCCTCAGACATGAGTGATGCTTACTTGGGTAAGTGGAGAGGGCAGGATTACTCTTAACAAGGGGTAAGAATATGGTATAACTCAACTATTGTAGATGTCACTGGATCTTTCATAGGCTCTTGGGATAGCTTTCAATACTAAAATTTCAAAATTATATCTTAATTATTTGCCAAAGAGGAATATAGTGCAGGGTCCAGTTACTCCAACTTAACAAGTCTGGGAAATGCCCCATTGCCCCTACTCAAGGGATAGACCTTCTAGAGGGGGCAGGGTCTGCATGGGACAGCACATATCCTCTTAGATCACCATCTTCAGGTTATGCTGCTGAAGTCATCTTGCGGAGCCGGGTGCAAAGCCTGGTTCTGGGAGCGCCTCGATATCAGCACACTGGCCTGGTGGTGATGTTCAGAGAGAATGCTGGTGCCTGGGAGACCAACACAGTTATCAAGGGCAGCCAGGTGAGTGCAGAGCATGTGGTGCATGAATGTACAAACAGAGGAATCTTGGGGGCTGAGAGATTTCAGGATAGGCATCTCCAGGTGCCACACATGGCAATTTTGTAAAAGAGCCTTCAGAGAGCTTTGAGCTGGAGATTCATGGGATCAGTTTTGCATTTGAGAATTTGTTCTCAGTTTTGTAAAACAATGAACAGCACTTAACTAGTACAGAGCTCTCTACAAGTCTACCTGTACACAGAGCTCGTATTTGACCAGTACATAACCAGTATAGCCATACTAGTTATTAATATATTGAAATAATTCCATATCTGTCAATAAATATCTGTTTCCCTTAGGTGCCTCCCCCACTCACTCTGGCCCCTTTCCTAGTACTCTTTGAATTTCCCCATGATCCAGCAACCATGAGGTCAGGCAGGGGACCTCAGGGAACTTGTAGGACCTATTCTAGGTAAGCCCCTTGTTCATGCCTGAGCAGTCCTAAAAATTCAATATTTTGACTATTGCCAAAAGCAATGTGGTTGCATCTTATATGGTGTGTGAGGCAAAAATCTCCAGTCAAAATTATCCTTGAAAATCCCTGAAATAGGATTGCTCACATGATATTGTGCCTCCAGTTCTGTGTGTATTCCTTTAATTTTTGCCAGTGGTTCTCTTTGGCCTGCAATGAATGCATCATATATGGATGAAACCAGTTTGTTCTGATACCTGAACAGCTTGTCATCATTCTTTGTCAGTAGTCAAATTCTTCATGCGGTCTTTACATAAGTTTTGCCAACACACATTCACTGTGGATGGCTTCAGTTTCTGGCACATACAAAGGGTGGGGTGGGAAGGAATGTGTAGGGTGATTCCAGGAGGTCAGGTATGGATGTGATGCTACTTCTCTGTTTTGTGTGTATGGTCTAGGGTCACACGGGGAAGGCTGGCTGGTCACTCCCCACCACACACAGGTATTACACATGCAGATTACAGTCAAGGTGGTACATACTGAAAACTGGGACAATTGGGATGTTATGAGAGCAGTTGGGATGGGCACCCACACAAGACATTAGGGAAAGCTTCCTGGAAGAAGTGAAAGTTAAGGTAGAAGAACTAGAAAAGTGAAGAGTGGGGAAAGAAAAAGGGCCAGAGGAGGTAAGAGCATGAGACAGAGTTCAGAGTGTACATAATTTGGGGTAGAGGGAGTAGGAGAAAACACTGGGAAGAAGGATAGGAAACAGATTCATCTCATATCTACTCCCTCCATTTCATTTTTTAATTGAAGTATAGTTGATATACAATATTATATTGGTTTCAAGCATACAGTGCAGTGATTCAACAGTTACACACATTATTAAATGCTCACCCCAGTCAGTGCAGTTACTGTCAACACAGAATGATGTTACAGAACCATTGACTATATTCTCTATGTTGTGCTTTCATCCCCATGACTAATTTGTATTATGATTGAGAATTTTTTTGCCTCTTTATCCCCCTCACCTATCCCACCCATGCACCCCAATCTCTTGGTAACCACCAATTTCTTCTCAGTGTCTGAGTCTACTGCTGTTTTGTTCATTTTGTTTTGTTTTCAGATTCCACAAATAAGTGAAACCCTATGGATTTGTCTTTCTCCACCTGGCTTATTTCATTCAGCATAATATCCTCTAGGTCCATCTGTGTTGCAAATGTCAGGATTTTTTTCTTTTTTATGCCTGAATAATATTCCATGTGTATATGTACCACATCTTCTTTATCCATTTGTGTATTGATAGGCACTTTGGTTGCTCCCTTATCTTGGCTATTGTAAATCATGTGGTGATAAACACAGGGGTGTATATATCTTTTAAAATTAGAGATTTTGTTTCCTTCAGGTAAATTTCTAGAAGTGCAGTTGCTGGGTCAAATGGTATTTCTATTTTCAGTTTTTTGAGGAACCTCCATAATGCTTTCCAATTGCTGCACCAGTTGACATTCCCACCAACTGTGTAGGAGGGTTCCTTTTCCCCCACATCCTCACCAACACTTGTTATTTCTTGTCTTTTGGATAGTGGCCATTCTAACCAGTGTGAGGCAATATCTTATTGTGGTTTTGATTTGCATTTCCCTGATGATTAGTTACGTGAAGCATCTTTTCATGTGGCTGTTGGCCATATTGATTTCTCATTTGGAAAATGGTCTGCTCAGCTCCTCTGCCCATTTTTAAATCAGGTTATTTGTTTATTTGGTGTTGAGGCATATAGTACAGATGTTAACCCTTTATTGGGTGAATCATTTATGAGTTATTATGAATATATTCTCCCATATTGTAGGTTGCCTTTTTGTTTTGTTGATGGTGTTACTCCTTCCATTTCTACTGGCCCAGGCCATCATTACCTTTCCTGTGGATCTAGCTATAGTTCCTAACTGGTCTCATGGAGGCCCATGTTGCCTTCCTCTAATCTATAGTGCGAGAGTGAACTTTCTAAATGAGAAACTGTTTATGTCAGTCTTCAGTTTAAGGCCTTTTGTTGACTAAAGACCAATATTATCCAATAATGATTTAAAAATTCTCAACAATATTGAATCCAGCAATCCAAAAAAAGAATAATACATTATGACCAAAGATGGTTTATCCCAGGAATGCAGGGCTGATTCTAAAGTTCACATGGAAATGTACAGCACCCAGAATAAATAATCTTGAAAAAGAAGAATGAAGTTGGAGGACTCACATTTCCCAATTTCAAAACTTACCACAAAGCTATAGTCATCAAGACAGTGTGGTATTGGCATGCAGATAGACTTACAGATAATGGAATAGAGTTGAGAGTCCAGAAATAAACCCATATATCTATGGTCATATGATTTTTGATAAAGGTTCATTTAATGGGGAAAAATAATCTTTTCAACAAATGATGCTGGGACAACTGGATATCCACATGCAAAAGAATAAATTTGCATGTCTATCTCAGAATATACAAAAATTAACTCATTATGGGTCAAATACCTAAATGTAAGAACCAAAGCTATAAACCTCTTAGAAGGAATAAGAGGTGAATTTTTGTAACCTTAGATCTAGCAATGATTTCTTAGATATGACAACCATAAGCACAAGTAACAAGGACAAAATTGGACTTCATCAAGTTAAAAATTTCTGACCATCAAAGGACACTGTCAAGAAAATGAAAAGAATGGGAGAAGCTATTTATATGTCATATGGCTGATTAAGGTCTGGTATTTAGAATATATAAAGAACTCCTACAACTCAACAATAAAAAGACAAATAATCTAATTTTAAAATGAGCAAAGGATTTAAATAGACATTTCTCCAGAAAAGATATACAAATGGCCAAAAGGCACATGAAAAGATGTTCAGAGAAAAGTTGATATTAAGGAAATGAAAATAAAAATGATAAGAGAGATATACCACTAGAATGACTATTAAACAAATGAATAAATAACAAATATTCATGAGGATGTGGAGAAACTAGAACCCTCATATATTGCTGGTGGGAATGTAAAATAATATAGCCATTTTGGAACACAAGTTAGCAGTTCCTCAAAAAGTTAAATATAGCCTTACCATATAACCCAGAAATTCCATTCCTAGGCATTCCATTCCTCCCCCAAAGTGAAAACAGGTGTTCAAACAAAAACTCAGACATGAATTTTCATAGCAGCATTATGCATAATAAGCAAAAAGTGGAAAGAACTTAAATGTCCATCAACTTATGAATAAACAAAATGTGATTTATCCATGCAATGTAATATTATTTAGCCATAAGAAGAATGAATTATTATTTATTTATTTATTGGATATAGTTCATATACAATATTATATTGGTTTCAGATAATAATGTGACTTGATAATTACATACATTACTGAATGTTTGCCACAGAAAGTGTAGTTATCCCCTGGTACCATACCAGGATATTACAATAATGTTGGTTATATTCTCTATGTTGTACTTCAAGAATGAAGTCTTGGTATATGCTACAACATGAACAAACCTTGAAAACTTTATTTCTTCTTTAAAATTTTTTTTATATTGCAGTATTTTTATTTATTTATTTATTATTTATTTAATTTTGGCATCATTAATATACAATTACATGAGCAACATTGTGGTTACTAGATTCTTCCCATTATCAAGTCCCCCCCACATACCATTACAGTCACTGTCTATCAGGGTAGTAAGATCCTATAGTCACTACTTGTCTTCTCTGTGCTATACTGCCTTCTCTGTGCCGTCCCCTACATTATGTGTGCTAATCGTAATGCCCCTTATTCCCCTTTTCCCTCTCTTCCCACTGACTCTCCCAGTCCCTTTCCATTTGGCAACTGTTAGTCCATTCTTGGGTTCTGTGATTCTGCTGCTGTTTTGTTCCTTCAGTTTTTCTTTGTTCTTATGCTCCACAGATGAGTGAAATCATTTGATACTTGTCTTTCTCCACCTGGCTTATTTCACTGAGCATAATACCCTCTAGCTCCATCCATGTTGCAAATGGTAGGATTTGTTTTCTTCTGTGGCTGAATAATATTCCGTTCTGTATATGTACCACATCTTCTTTATCCATTCATCTACTGATGGACACTTAGGTTGCTTCCATTTCTTGGCTATCGTAAATAGTGCTGCGATAAACATAGGAGTGCATATGTCTTTTTGAAACTGGGCTGCTGCATTCTTAGTGTAAATTCCTAGGAGTGAAATTCCTGGGTCAAATGGTATTTCTATTTTGAGCTTTCTGAGGAACCTCCGCACTGCTGTCCACAATGGTTGAACAAATTTACATTCCCACCAGCAGTGTAGGAGGGTTCCCCTTTCTCCACATCCTTGCCAACATTTGTTGTTTGTCTTTTCTCTGTTGACCATCCTAACTGGTGTGAGGTGATATCTCATTATGGTTTTAATTTGCATTTCCCTGATATTTTAGTGATGTGGAGCATCTTTTCATGTGCCTGTTGGCCATTTGAATTTCTTCTTTGAAGAACTGTCTGTTAATATCCTCTGTTCATTTTTTAATAGGGTATTTGCTTTTTG